GTGGCACCCCTTTGTTTAAACTAGTTGTCTCTGACAGTGTTCCAGAACCATTGCTGTTTTCAATATAGACCTGCTGAGATCTACTACTCAAGTACGACTTCATCAACTTCAAAGCAGTACCTCGAATTCCGTAGCTCTCTAATTTACTAATTAAGATCCGATGATCAATAATTTCAAATGCTTTGGATAAGTCGAAGTAAATCCCCGCCACCAGTTTTCGTCTATCAAGTTGATTCAATATGAATTTCAATATAAGAGAAAGTAAAGACACGCCTGAATATAAAGAAGAATAAAAAAGAGTGCAAAATTTGAAATTTGTTTCCAGAATAACTCCCTTCTTGATCAACATTCTTAGTTGGTATAACATTCATCCAAATATATAATGTTACGACATTTGCATAAAACAAACATTATTTCGCCGTTATATAATAATAAATAAGACACTAAAAACTCCCATATGTAATATATATCTCTCATTTTTATCACACGCTGATAATGTGATATCAAATTTAACTTCATTCGCAAAATTAAACCTTTAGCAACCATCGCTCGTTAACAGAAATTCATTTTTTACCTGAAACAAAGTTATTGAGGAAATCGCAAGGCTTAACCTTAACGTAAGGATTTGAGTAGGTACGTATTAGATCTAACAGGTCTAGGGCGGCAATTAAAACTCACAACCCTCCCATATCTTGTAAGATGCCAAAAAAGCCCGATCGTACAAAACAATATTTTTATATCAATATTTGTGGTACTAATGATATTATATTATCTAGCTAGGCCATATTAGAGCTGCCACTAATATGTGTAATCAGTACACAATGACACCATTGAAAAAAAACTTACTATATTTCGAAGTACCAACATTGCTTTAATGTATTAATGACACTAAATTACATAATTTGTTTTCTTTTACCAGAATATTTATATTATGCCGTATAAAGTTTATTTTCCAATAATATGAATATTACCTATATAAAAGTTTGTTTTAGCCTTGTCTATCGAACAAATTATCAATAACCGACTGTAATGGCTAATAAATTAGGGTTCCGTTACACCACCACACATTTCCAGATAGTTTTTCGCGCTCGTGAAAAACAAGTGCGAGTTAAAGAAAATTAGTCTCGTTTCTGCAGTTTATTCAAAATTCTAATTTACTTATTTTAAACGGGGTTATTACATATGCACCACGCGCTATTTTAACCTGCTTATTTGCTTAATTAGGACAACGTTAGATACCAGTAAGTAAACGATTGATAGATCTAAGCAACACTTATCTCATGCTAGTATCAAGGAAATAACCTACGGATTTTTATTCTTGGTATTTACAGGAATTCGAAATATGTCATATTTAAAGTCGGCACCACATAAACTATTAACACTTTTTCCAACTCTCAGGCAGGTATTGATGTTTTACCTATAAATAAAAAATGTATAGCAGTCCTAAATGATTACGTATTTCAACCGAGTATTTAGAAGGTTTAAATGATAAATAATAAAGCAGTTTTCCATCTTATTTAGCTTTTTGTGTAGTCTTGAAACTTTGATATAAATATTCTTTCTCGAATAAAGGAGTTGAATCTATGAAATATTCGTGAGTTAAAAACGTATTTTTGTTTGAGGTTTAGAAGCTTTGATTTTTTATTGAAAAACGCGATAAGTAATTGTTTTTCTAAAAATGTTTCATATTTTCTGTAAGAACGATATTACACGGTGAACCTTAATAATGCAAAAGTAAAATATCAACGCAAACATTATTTAATAAAATGTGGAAAGCTGACTGGTCAAGTATGCGCGATTCTGCACAGAAGGGTGCATAAGGCAGTTAAGTTACGTTACGCACTCTGGTCACGATCGTAAGAGATGCTAAGTAGAGCTCCCACGTGTAGGTGGTGAGTGTATTGTGCAGGTCATCGTGCTTTGTTGTTTGGCTATTATTAGATAAAAGCCCTCGCAGATATCCGGATATATCCCTAGGTTCCGTGAATGCATAATGTGCCTATGCCGCGGTTCCGGGTCTGATGATTATACTGCTTACTCGCTCGACTAGGTCATGATGTCGACCCAATACGAAACGTAAAGACCTCATTGCCAATGCTAACAAAAAGAATCCATTCGCCGATCGTAGTGTTCGGAGGTCCAGGACAGCTCTGCGCCAGCTCGGGGCAGATGTTTGTTTACATGACCCTCGAGCGCGAAAGACGACCTGTCAGACTAAATGCCGTTGCAGGGACGTTGAGGTGAGTTTACAGTACATTTGTCATGATGATGAGTTCTGACCAACGATTATAGCCCCCATTTAGTTAGCTACTTCCCTTGTTGTTAAAAATACCAACCCATTATGGTTTACGCCACTTCATTACATTTCAATTTTTAAGTTTTGCAGCAGAACAAAATTTGTAACTGTGACAACTTGATTGGAGACATCAGCTCCTTGGTAACAGTTATCTGCCCCGGGAGGCTGAAGGTTCTATCTTTCATGGAGAGGAACGAGCTCTGAAATTAGTTGCGGAGGAAATGGTGCAAGCCCAATGTGCCTTTGGTATGCGTAAGTTCGGCTCCCTTTGTGGAGAGAAGATAATAGATAACGTATTTACTATTTTAACGCCTTCAAGGGTTTTCAACGGATTTCAAGAGTGTTTAAGAAAGGCCAAGAAGCTGGAGCTGGAGGCTTTACAAGTCCCGAAGCTTTTGTTTGTCCTTGAGAGTCTTTCAAGGTGTTTGAGCCTTTCCAAAGTGTTGAGAAGTTTTATTGGATTTTATAAGTTTTGTGGAATCACTAATTGTTCTCTCAAACAGTCTTCAATGGCCTTCGTTTTAGTGAGAGAATCTAGTAGGCAATTAATAGCTTATTGAGGTCGTTAAGATTCGTTAAGAGCTTATCTGTTAAGTTATGTAGTATCTAATCTTGAAGGCTCTTTACATTGTTTAAGCCTCATTTAAAGGCCTTTAAGGAACTTCGCCAACGGTAACTAAGAGTTTCAATGGCCTCAAGGGTCTATAAAAATCTTCTAAAGGCATTTATATTTTATAATCTTTAAAAGCATTAAAGAGCTTTAAAATGCCTCTTTTTAAGAGCCTCTCACAGACTCCAAGGGTCCATAGAGACACAACGGGCGTTTATTGACTTTTTGATATTTTGAAAGTTTAAAAATCATTAATGCGTTTTAAGAGTGATTAAGAGACCTGGTCTGGGCCTTAAGGGCTTGTATGGGTCATTAGAAGTTTATGAGTCTAGACTTTAGAGCATTGATAGACCAGAGTCACCAATATTTTCCAAATGTTGTCTAGAATCTCCAAGATACTTCTACATTCTTAATTATATAAGCTTAACTTTTGACGGGTTTTATGGATATATTGTAATATTTAGAAGAAGAAAAATCGATATTCAATATAGTATAACGAAAGTTCCTTTTTTGTTCATAGTCATACAGGATCTAAGATGTTCCTTATTAATATGCGAATATTAAAAATTTGCCTCGCGCTAGCTAAAAATATAAAGCAGCGATTTACAGAACTTGCTACTAATGACCTTCGGTCCTCGGTGTTGCCATTGAATAATTATTCAATGGTTTTACTAATTGCGTGCTAATAGGAGTCGTAGAGTTGAAAACTGGTTACGGTTTAGTTCCTATATTCCAATTTTTCTACTTTAAACCTTCATTCATGTCCAAAATATAATCAAAAGTTTTGCTTTCTTTGAATTTTTCATTCATCTTAATTTCATCCAAAACTATTGCATTTACATTTTCGTTGGTATTTGAAATAGTTCCGCAAGTGGTCATTTCTGCATGTTTATTAGCATTTTTTTTTTAAATTTTGTCAGTATAGACTGACTTTATGTCTCAGTGTTTTTTTTTCTTTTTAGAAGTATTGTAATAGCGTAATTGTTGTTTAAATTTTATCGCTTTTGTAATTGTTTATTTAGATTTGTCTGTTTAAGTATAAAACGTGAAATTACGTCCGAAAATGTAGAAATATCTGTTCGTTTGCGATAAGAAATATGGAGTAGTTTGCCCTAGTTGTTTTGCTGAAGTGTGCAGAAGACGTTAAGTAACATTAATAAAAGATTTAAGTTATCGTCAAGTGAAGTAGTACAAGTTGGTGGAAAGATTTTTAAAAACGGTATGTCCGTAATAAAAAAAAGTGAGTTCGAGTGTGAGTAAACAAAGCAGTTGTCAGCTTAGTAAAACCTTTCTAAAAGGTTTCTCTTTCATTAAAAGTTGAAAGCAGACACCAAACATTTTTTTCATCTTATTTATCAAGTTTATTTAAGATGTGAACTCGAATAGTAAGAACTTTCATTCCCACTTCCCTTGTAGCGAATTAGACGAACATCAGAAGAAGAGAAAGCGTCAATTAGCAAAAATCTTTCATGATATTTAGAAAAGTAACTATAATATTTCCAGTCAAAAACATAAAAAATGAAGTAGAGGGCAAAAATAATGCATCACAAGTTTTCAAATACCTACAAAATTTAGAAAAGGCAATTTACCCTTGGTAAACCGTGTCATTTTTATTGAGACCTGTTCATTTTAATCGATAAAACATTTCGAAGTGTCATTTTAATTCTATTTACACGCGCCACCTATGCTAGAGTAGATGTATCATTCCAGAAACCTTTGCGGACGAGTTCTGAACAATTCCCAAAGCTCCTCGGCGATCGTATGGTTGGTTCAGTAACTTATAAACTACCAAAAAGTAGACACACATCCGTTTTGGTATGGATAGTATAGATTAAAGTTAGTACAGCCATACCCTCAATAAGTTGTTTTTTTTACCAAAATCATATCTTTACAATAAATAACGTATGTTCTTTGTTACACGGTAACATAGAGATTTAGTTAAAAGTTTGAACCTTTAAAATGTCCGTGTTGCCGCTGTCAAGTTTAAAGTTAATGGAAAGTATCCATCGAACTTCAACTTGATTCCTTTAGGGAATATTAGTTCTTTCCCAAAGTTTCAACAGAAGCTAAAAAGTGTAACAAAAGAATACTTACTTGCGACAACTAGGTGGAAAATTAGTGTGAAAACTATGATGTACAACGAAGTACTTGACATGTCCATTTTGCGGCCCCCCATTAAGTTGTTTGGAAAACTACCACTTGATTTTACATTTTTAGTCTTCACATACTAATCCGTTTCAAGTGTTTACGTGCACACACTTCGAATATTAATTAGGCTGGTACCACTACTTATTGGATCTCCAATTGTCGGTACTGTAAACAAAGAGAGATACAACCGTTAAGATCAATAGCGAGGGGTTAATTAAATATTAACAACATCAAAAGTATCTAATTAGAAAAGCAACAACAGTCTAGTTATTCTAGTAGACGTACACGACATCAGTTAAATTGAAATATGTTTATGTGATTAGATGTAGGTATTTATGAAAAGAATTATTGATTGCGAAGCTGATTAATAGAGAACCAGATTTTACGATAAACAGTTTTCAATAATAATCTTCCCGTTTGTACTTGTTGCATAAACTCCAGATTCGGATTGAAATTATACGCCAATATAAATAAAATACCCACCGCATGATTTATTGCCAACGCAAGCGTATGAAAATCAATACTAAACATGAGATGATGTATTTTTATGACAAATGCCCCTAGTGGCAATTCTGTCATTCAGCAACAAGATTCGATGATCCTTCGTATTATTCCAAATGAAGGATGGCGTACTAGGATTGTCACTTGAATGTTCCAGAAAATGGGAAATGATAGAAATTATTACCTCCACCACATACGCAACTGTCATTTGAGGTAGTTAATCTAAGAATCTCGAATTCTGGCATAGAACACCAATCACATTACCACCTTAAAGCGAAGAAGGGTTGCAACATGAAAAACGAAAATTTAATTCCGGTATGCGTATATCTGTATAATAATTTGTCCGCAAAAAGCCCCTTATACGTGCCGCGAACTAAACGAGTTGATTTATTGATTTAATTTTAGATTTATCTTGATTACTGGACGTGAATTGTGAAAAGGTTATAAAATCCTCTTTCCCGTCTCACATTCTTTTTCGCAGCATAATTCTTCATTTATGGTTGATAAGCTGTAATCGTAAAAGATTTTTAAATTGGAAATTTCCAAAAATTACATCGGGTAATGAACTGTGCACGAAATTAAATTTTGATTGCAATCTTTGCGGCTTGTAATAAATATGCAACTCTAAATTAGCTAGAAAATAACGCGTTACCCTATTTTAACGCTACATACTAATGATACGCCTAAATTGTCAAATAAATTTGTGC